CTATGTTTACTGTAATGGTGGCAATCCCACCAAGGTTAATTGAAAAGGTAGTTAGTGGCAATAGCACCAAGGTTAATTAAAAAGGTAGTTAGTGGCAATCCCAGTATGTTTACTGCAATGGTGGCAATCCCACCGACATTAATTGAAAGAATAATTAGTGGCAATCCCACTAATGTGTATTGTAATGGTGACAATCCCACCAACATTTATTGAAAGAGTATTAAGTGGCAATTCTACCTATTTTTATGGTAATGGTGGCCATTCCACCAACGTTGATTGAAAGAATAACTAGTGGCGACCCCACTATGTTTACTGAAATCGTAGCAATTTCATCAACATTAATTGAAAGAGTAATTAATCAATTAGCGTCTAAAAAGAACATTAGTGATAATGTTCATAAGTCGTAACAGTAGTTCTGTTTTCGTATTTTGTAATTCCAGATATATGTGGCGCGAGGACGCACCAATTGCAGGATGGCCGTGTTAGCGGTATTTATCTATACTCCCCACCATACATTCTTGAAGTCCATACACATGCGTGTCAGGATGGACGAGCGGGAGAAGACAGACCAGCGCAGTGGGTAGTACGCGAATAGGCAGTGGCAATACCACAGCAACATTGTAATTGAGAATACTTGATCGTGAAATAAACTATTGAAAAGCAGTTTAGATATTTTTATTAGGGATGATACATCCCTTAAGTTTATATAGATATCCTTTTGTATTTAAACAAGAAGTCGCAAAACAAATTCAAAATATGTTAGATTCAAATATAATTAGACCTAGTCATTCGCCATGGAGATCAAATATATGGGTTATTCCCAAGAAAAAAGATTTTTCAGGTAAACAAAAATTTAGAATAGTGATAGATTATAGGAAATTAAATGAAAAAACAATTGATGACAAATATCCATTGCCTAATATTACTGATTTGCTAGATAAATTAGGTAAATGTCAGTATTTCACCACTTTAGATTTGGCGAGCGGATATCATCAAATCGAAATGGACGAAAGAGACATAGAAAAAACAGCCTTCAGCACAGAAAATGGTCATTATGAATTCTGTAGAATGCCATTTGGTTTGAAAGGGGCATTGGCCACTTTTCAAAGAATTGCAGATATTTTTAGAGGATTACAAGATGAAACATGATTAGTATACTTAGATGATATAATAGTTTTTTCTACATCCCTTCAGGAGCATATTGAACGTTTAAAAGCTGTATTTCAAAGATTAAGGGACACTAATTTTAAAGTACAGTTAGATAAGTCAGACTTTCTACGGAAAGAAGTTGCGTATTTAGGGCATGTTGTAACACCCGAAGGAGTAAAGCCCAATCCAGTTAAAATTAAAGCAATACAAAACTTTCCAATACCTCAAACCCCCAAACAAATTAAAGGTTTTCTCGGAATACTAGGGTATTATAGACGTTTTATAAAAGATTTCGCGAGAATTACCAAACCATTAACTAAATGCTTAAAAAAGGGAGCAAAAATAGAATTAAAAAACGAAAAACAGTAACCACTTCAAAACATGGTAAAATACATATGAGTAATATTAAACGCCCACTGAAAAGATTTTATTCTTTCGATAACTAAATTGTAAAATTTGATATCATTTGCACAACTTGGAGTATTACATCCTAGCATAATTACAATCAAAGATTTATACAGAATTTTGAAGATTATAATAAAAAAGAATGGTCCACTCCCAATGTGAAATTGCAACCCATTAATCTAGATGACCTTCAAACTCTACGAGAAAACATAATTCAAAATCAACCAAATTTCAAATCCAAAACCATTCCCTATGTACCAAGCTATTTAAAAGATGGAAAAAAGAAAATCCAAGAAGTATAGAAGAAAATTTCAACCTACAAGATGTCCATCTTCCTCGCTAGCCCTCGAAAACTGGATCTTCAGGGGGAGGAGTTATATCATCCATACTAATGGCAAATATATTAAATATACAATTTTGCATAGTTAACAATTTAGAATATTTGTTTATATAAAAGTAGTTGTAATCAGTTTAGGGGAGTTCCTAAAGCATACACATCTATATTTTTTATTTTAAGTTAAATAAAAGTTTTTAAAAAATAATTTTCGGTTCGAGATTTCATTTCTCACGTGTCTCAAGTTTAAAAAAGATGACAATTCCTAGATTTGAACTATTAGCGGCTTGTATTGAAGCTAGATTTTCAACATCAACCATGAAACAAAATTTTATCTTTAAACAAAAAAAAAACAAACTAAACAAAAAAAAACCAAACAAAAAAGAGTTTATGTTTATGTTTATGTCTACTAAAAAAGTTGCAATACGAAACACATCGGTAGTTGAAATTGAATTTTACCAAAAACGACTATTGGAAAAAAAAACAATAAAAATGATTTAAAATTATTAAATTAGCTTTTCAAACACAAAGATTCATTAAAATATATATGAAAGGTAATAAAGTTAGCTACCTACTGGAATTATATATTTAATTAGTCTCACATTAATATTCAATTAGTTTCAAATTAATATTTTAATTACTTTCAAATTAATAATAAATTAAGGAAACTAATATATGTGTATATAAACGAATCTATTAGTACAATAGTAACAGAAAAGTCCAAACATGAAGTGGATTATTTTACTAATAGTCACATTTTTGGCATTAGTCAGTAATGTCTCATCTCAGGGTAAGGAAAATTTTACAATAATATTTGGCTCTCATTTCGGCCAGTATAAAAATTAAAATTGTATATTCAATAACAGATTGGTCAATATTATATGTGCATAAAAAAAAACCGGAAACGAAGAATAACATATTTCTCAATAAATATTTAAATGCGCGAAAATCTTTTTGGGCAATAATATGAATAAATGGACAGTAACATTTAAGCAGTAACGCAGTTAATAAATCAGAATCAGTACTATACAGTAGAAATGCAGTTAAGTGACGCATATAATTTTTATTTAAGATAGGCAGTTAGTTATAAAAAAGTGACGATGGAAACTAAGAAAAAGACCTTAAAAACTGTTATAGACCTACATTTTAGCCATTTTAAACATTTTATCTGTACAATTTATACGTATTTCATAAAAATTTGCTATAATTATTATCTAGTAGTATTTTAATCGTAATACTAATTTCTAGATTACGGGTAATTAAAGAAAAAATGCCCCACAGAAATAATTTATTTTATATAAAATTAAAATACAGTTCCCAGTAAAATTTAACTTGGGCACAATTTTCATTCGATTTCTTTATTTTAAACATTACAAATATTTTTACAGCATATGTACTTATTATTTATTGAAGTTTTCCCATACATTTTAAGGTACAAATACAGTTAGTATAAAGAAGAAGTGTAGCTTGAATGCCCAACCTTGCGTAATACTGATCTCTTTAAAACCACATAGTGCCCAACTATTGCACTGCACAATAGCATTTCTGAGGATTGAGTTATATTACATGACACTAGCTTAATTTTTAATAAAGACTTCAAATCTGTAATCTAAATTTCTGTATTAGCTCTAGTTTAGAAAATATGACACACGGTCGTTTCATAGTAAAACACAATTTGTTTAAAGTTAATCATATTTTATTTAGTTCTTAAGGTGAAAAAACTTTCTTTTATAAGACTTCATTGCAAAGGTTGAACCCATAGAACGGTTCTGAATGCTCCAACAATAGTCAGCCATCATGTGTGCGTTCCATTAGCCTTGCTACCATTTCTCCATCGTACGAAGGTCCTGGTGGAATCGTTCGCCCTGTTCTTTACTTAGATTCCCAAGATTAGCGGGAAAATAATCTAGGTGGTTGTGAAGAAAGTGCAACTTGATACTCATGTTACGGTATTGCCACGGCCGCCTATACACTGACATGCCATTCCATGGCTTTGTTTACATTTTGTAATGAATGTCAAGACGTTGCATTTTTATTTCCTAGTTCTATAATCATTATAAAACTGAAAATATATTTAAAAGAAAATAACAACTGCGTCAAATAACATCAAGTCATGCTCAATAATACAAGAAAAGTCACTATAGGTAGATAGACGCTTGTCCAAAAGTAATGCCAAATAAAAAAAATATTTTGTGCTTTTATACAAAAAAAGTAGGTAATTTATCTCGAATTTAGCCATAGTGTAAGGAATTTAGCTTAATATATTTTCTCTTTGGCGTAAAAAAGATAGTGTTCATCTAACACTGAATTTTTCCATCACAAAACTTGAAGAGGATGTTACATCTAGGATTTAAATCTTCATACCTAGCATTGCTATCTGATAGATTGAGATCAAGGTGATAGCCAAAACGTACCTAAACTTACATAGACATCACCATTAAAAAGTTTTAGTGGCTCAGTACGAATAAAACTGGAACTAATGAAAGGCATAAACAAATAACTAATTTAAATGTGAAACTGAAATATGTGGTGTCCCTTGTATTGTGTATGGTGGGAAGATGTTTAACCACCTGCCAATTAATTAATAATAGGAAGTGCTGGCTCATTAAATATGTTTAAAAAGCAAGTTAAGAAACTCTTGCTCGAAAAGGTATACTACAAAGTGATCCCTTGAATTAAGTAGTTCATTTTAATTATGTGTATACTCGTGTATATTGTCACGAGCTACTTTATTTAGTAACTCTATGTGCTACCTGACTCGGGGAAATAAAAGAGCAGAACAACAATTAACAATTTATTAAATATAAATAAAAGGATCCAAAAATGTTACAATAATATACAAAGGGCCTTACCAAAGGCTAAACATCTAAAGACGACGAGGGCACGTCACGTCACTTCTGCTAATGAGATGCAGGACGATGATGAGACTCAAACTAAGAGTCTGGGGTGAGACTCCGACCAAGAGTCTCGAATGAGACTCCGATCAAGAGTGCCATTATTGTTGACCTAGCTGATTTTTATATTAATCGATTAAGGTCAGTACGTGTCTAATTTAATGTTATATTTACATTTTCGAGAATGTAGTTATGAATTGCATCTAATGTTTATCAAAATGATATAATCCAGTTATTTTAAACATATTTAATTTTGTCCACAACCAGAGCAATAGTTGTATATTCTTCTTTTAATTTTGTAGAATGTGCAATAGGCAAAGACCCTAATTTATTCCAATTGTGTAAAAAAACACATTTTAGACTCCGTTTTCACGAGTCTATGAATGAACGCCACTCACTAGAAACATAATTTTGTAATCCCATTGCAGCCATCAATCCAGGTATATCTTTCAAAATACGAAATTGTCTTCTTTAGCAAAATATTTGAGGAAATTCTGTTCTTTTGTGCGGTAATAAGAAATTTTAGTTTCTTTGGTTACCAATTTTCTTTCTTTTAGCCTTGAAGCCAAAATTTATGAAGCTGACTTTGATAGTCCCATATCTCTAATTAATTTGTTTAAATCATCTTGATTAAAAGGTTTTAGCGTTCCCGGGTCACTATCACTACTGTCGTTTTTCGTCTCAAGATCTTCTGGCTTTTCCTGTAAAGTACCAGATTGGAGTTCATGTGTAGACTTAGGAGTCAGGACACGTCTATGTGCCGATTGTATAAAAAGATATTTCCATTTGGTCTGATTTTTTCGGTTAATACCAGTTATGTTCACCAAACAAAAATAACAATATTCATAGTGATTCATGGGTTCATTCCAAATCATAGCGGTTTTGTACCTGAAGCTATGTAATTTCTTATTTGTCCATAAACGTAGGAACTCAACGCATGTTCTGCATACCTTTTGCGGAATCCAAGGCTTATTCTTCATTTTCAGCGGGTGCCCAAAGTAATTTTTGTAATCCTGATTTACGAACGTTGTCACATTTAAACGGTATTCTCTAAATACATACTCTCCGCAAATGAAACAAAAATTGTTTGAATCATTTACACATACTCTTCTTGACGATGCCATATCAAATTACAAAATAAAACAATAATTCAAACAAGAAAGATAATTTCATTATTGTCTTACTAAACTTTTCCCTAAAATAACAAAAGATAATTTCTTAATAATTCTAAAATTGTGTTTTACCGGTCATTAAATAGAGGTACTTTTACCTTTATTTATAAGTATGTTCTAAGAAACTACAGAGAGTGTGCCTGGCCGTACAACAGAGGGGTCGTTAAAAAGGATTACAAATTAATTGTATTTCCAAATAAAATTAAATAAGTATAATAATTCAATAATTATTATTAAATAGCAAATAAACACTATAATATAGCGAATTTTTAGTGAAAGCTATAACTCTGTCTGAAAAAAAGGGGAGGTATATTTAGAATCAGCGACATAAAATTAGTAAACATCATGTGACATAAGTCATTCATCAGTCAAAAAAAGTAATTTTGTTGGCCAGTGTTATCTAATAGTAATGGATACGAAGTAAGATCCACCTTCGCCCACCTGCTTACCGCATTAAAGATATTTTTTATTAAATAGAATATGTTAATAAATATACCGTAAATGGGTTGCCTAAAAAAATAATATCAAGGCTATTTTTTACTTTCTTTTCCTCTATGTATACAAATAAGGAAAGTATAGAAATGATGATAAAAATTGCTTGTGATATCATTTTCTATAATTCTTGTATTATAGATGGACCGTATTAGAGATATTTGAGGAAAAAAGCAAATTTCAAATTATCCTGCGGTAAGCTGATTAAATTTGGGCATAATCGAATCATCTGGAAATACTTTATAGGGTGTACTTTTTTACTTAAAAAATAAAAATAGACTTGACAGTATTTTCTTAGCCAACCCATTTGCGGTATATTTATAAGCACTTTATTTATATAAAAAAAACTCTTCTGGTAAGCAGATGGGCAAAGGTCGACCTTATTTTGTTTTTTAGACTATAACTAATAAATAATAAATAAATAATGTTTATTGAGCAACTATAAATACATAAGTGTCTCAAAAGAAATGAATTCGGCTAAGTCGTTTTTCAATTTATCCTCATTATAACAGCAAAAAAATGTTCACAAAATAGTTATTTTAAGTTTTAAATTAAATCAGTATCTTGAAATAAGAACTTCCGCAATAGTCTTAACAAAATTATTAAAATTCAAATTTAAATAATTAATTTCTGAATACAACAATATTGATGCTACGTAACAAACACAATCTTGGAATTTTGAAATTCTATGCACTGGGATTGTAAAAGTGTTGACTCTTAAATTTACATTGTGTAAAGTTGATCTTTTTAGTAAGAGTATGTAGATTCTGTGGAATTTTAGATATTAAAATTTTATACAAAAAATTTGAATAAATAGTATATTACATTACGAGTGTGGAAAATGACATTTTTCACACGAGTTGGAAATATTGTCGCACGAGGCGCAAGCCGAGTGCAACTATCACACGAGTGTGGAAAATCACTTTTTACACAAGTGATGTACAATATTTTTCCTACGACCACAAAATAATGTCATCAAAAAATGTTAAGTTATTATAACTATAATAATTAAAATGTATTTAAAAAAATAATCAACCATAATCGTATTTATTCAATTTTCATATTTTCTAAACAAAAAAAAAACTAAAAAAAAAATAAAAAAAAAACAAAAAGAAAATTTTGCCCCGCCAGGATTTGAACGCGGTCTCAAATGGCAAAGTTGATAAGTTCGACGTCTTAACCACCTAAGCTAATATCCCTTGTGTCAATTGAATGATCTAATCGGTAATGTATTTAACCAGAATAAAGAGCAAACATTATTTTAAAATTATTTTAATAATAATTGTTGAAGATAAATATCTAGGATCTAATTTACAACAATTTCAATAATTTAACAATCATATCGATTTTAGTATTAATATGGACATTACATAGATCAAAATAGAAATTAGGTGTTTGAAATTTTGTGACAGCTACTGCGGAAAGTAACATATTCGTACACGGGTGAAAAGTAAATTCTTATTTATACGCATGTGATATAGGGCACTTCCCATAGGACTATATAGTGTGATATAAGAATAAGAATTTACTTTCCACCCGAGTGAGAATATGTTACTTTCCGCAGTAGTTGTCACAAAATGTCAAACACCTAATTTCTATTTTGATCTATGTAATGTCCATATTAATACTAAAATCGATATGATTGTAAAATTATTGAAATTGTTGTAAATTAGATCCTAGATATTTACCTTTAACAATTATTATTAAAATAATTTTAAAATAATGTTTGCTCTTTATTCTGGTTAAATACATAACCGATTCAATTGACACAAGGGCTATTAGCTCAGGTGGTTAGGACGTCGAACTTATCAACTTTGCCATTTTTTGACCGCGTTCAAATCCTGGCGGGGCAGAATTTTTTTTTTGTTTTTTTTTATTTTTTTTTTTTTTAGTTTTTTTTTTGTTAAGAAAATATGAAAATTGAATAAATACGATTATTGTTGATTCTTTTTTAAAATACTTTTTAATTATTATAGTAATAATAACCTTGGTTTTACATTTTTTTTTATGACATTATTTTGTGGTCGTAGGAAAAATATTGTACATCACTTGTGTGAAAAGTGATTTTCCATACTCGTAATGTAATATACTATTACTGTTTCCTGAATTTTATATTCATTTAGCCTGGCAAATGTATAGAGAAACATAATTTCTAAGATCTCAATAAAAACCCCTATTACTTTCAGTCTTATTATTTATATATTTTTTTGTGTTTTTTTTTAGTTTAATCATTTGCTTGATATTGTAAGTAATGTTAGGTTTATACTTTTTTCTTGGTTTTATTTTGCAAATGGAGCATGTACATCGAAGGGTGATATAATAAATTCAGTTAATAATAAATAGCCGTGAAAACATTTTACTGCTAATTCTATTACTTTACCCCTCAAATACTCATAATCATTATTGCACTGGGCATTTATTTAATCTGTTCGAGTACATCTGATGCTGCTGCTGTAGATTTTAATAATCGGCCAAATTCTTTTAATATTATTACTGGTCAGGTTTTTCTGCTACAATTATTTTTAACAATTGATCAAGCATATTTTTGTATACCATTTATATATTATTTGTTTAAATACATTAATTTTGTAATTCGTAAATTTTAGGACCTATATATAGTATGAGAAGGAGACAAAGTGGTAAGTGATAATTAATTAGACATTCTTTTTCTTCTTCTTCTTCTTCTTCTTCTTCTTCTTCTTCTTCTTCTTCTTCTTCTTCTTCTTCTTCTTTCTTCTTCTTCTTCTTCTTCTTCTTCTTCTTCTTCTTCTTCTTCTTCTTCTTCTTCTTCTTCTTCTTCTTCTTCTTCTTCTTCTTCTTCTTCTTCTTCTTCTTCTTCTTCTTCTTCTTCTTCTTCTTCTTCTTCTTCTTCTTCTTCTTCTTCTTCTTCTTCTTTTTCTTCTGAATTGTTATTATGATTTTAAAATTATTATCATTTTTAGTTCCTAAAATAACCAGAAGAGTTTTTGTGTTTCCCGACAGAGTCGGAGTACCAACTTATGGTGGTGGTTATGGATAATATGCCCCTACAATGGATCGGGCCTAAAATCTAATTAGAATCACATTCACAAAATTAATATTTAGCACAATCAGCTTAAACACAACATATAACTGTCTAATTATTAAAAACTATTGGTCAACAAAAGTAAAATTTAATTTCTAAAAATTCAAAAAATAAACTAGCTTGTTGCTGCAATTAAACTTTTTGTATTTTTATTATTTTGATGCTTGTTCCACAGCAAAATATTTATTTCGTCAAATATAACTGCTTTCAAAGAAACAAATCATAACAATTCGAATTGGTCGTGAAATTTAAATTTTGTGTTCTTACTTAAGGTGAGTACAGCACCCCCTTATAATTTTCGGACAAGCATATTTCAAAAAGTAATTTTTTTTTTAAGTTAAAATTTTGGCATAATAAATTAGGCAATAATATCTAGAATATGCTTATATTTTAAAATTTTAATTATTTTCAGTTTCCAAGAAAAAAAAATAAAAAGGGCTTTAAATTTTGAAATATAATGAAAATAAATGCATTCCTCAACAGCAGTATTATTAATATAATCCCCAAATTTAAGCTTTTAATCTCTTGTTAATGATTTTTTAAAATTCGCCGAAATTAGTGGCTAAAACGCCTCGTTAAGTGCTGCTTTCTGGTCTAACGCAACTGTAACTATCGTATCGTACACTCTGAGTCATCATTCGTTTCTTGCAATGATTTACACCAGTTTACACCAGTTTAAACCAGAAAATAGCACTTAACGAGGCGTTTCAGCCACTAATTTCGGCGAATTTTAATAAATCATTAACAAGAGATTAAAAGCTTAAATTTGGGGATTATATTCTTCTTCTTCTTCTTCTTCTCCTTCTTCTTCTTCTTCTTCTTCTTCTTCTTCTTCTTCTTCTTCTCTTCTTCTTCTTCTTCTTCTTCTTCTTCTTCTTCTTCTTCTTCTTCTTCTTCTTCTTCTTCTTCTTCTTCTTCTTCTTCTTCTTTCTTCTTCTTCTTCTTCTTCTTCTTCTTCTTCTTCTTCTTCTTCTTCTTCTTCTTCTTCTTCTTCTTCTTCTTTTCTTCTTCTTCTTCTTTTTCTTCTTCTTCTTCTTTTTCTTTTTCTTCATCTTCTACTGAATTATTGATATGTTGTTAAAATTATTAACATTTTTAGTTCCTAGAATAACCAGAAGAGCTTTTTTGCTTCCCTTCGATACACCAATACATGAATTTGATGGATAGATAATATGCCCCTACAAAGGATCGGGCTTAAAATCTAATAGAAAACTTAGAATCGCATTTACAGTATTAATATTTAGCACAATTAGCTTAAA